ACTCAACAGTGGCCACAGGATTCGAAAAGGTCAGTTTACATTCCGATCCCAAAGAAGGGCAATGCCAAAGAATGTTCAAACTACCGCACCATTGCACTCATTTCACATGCTAGCAAAGTGATGCTCAAAATCCTACAAGCTAGGCTCCAGCAGTATGTGTACTGAGAACTACCAGAAGTACAGGCAGGGTTTCGAAGAGGGAGAGGAACTAGAGATCAAATTGCCAACATACACTGGATCATGGAAAAAGCTAGGGAGTTCCAGAAAAACATCTACTTCTGCTTCATTGACTATGCTAAAGCCTTTGATTGTGTGGATCACAACAAACTGTGGCAAGTTCTTAAAGAGACGGGAGTACCAGTCCATCTTATTTGTCTCCTGAGAAACCTATATGCGAGTCAAGAAGCAACAGTGAGAACTGGACACGGAAACACTGATTGGTTCAAAATTGAGAAAGGAGTTCGGCAAGGCTGTATACTGTCAACCTGCCTATTTAACTTATACACAGAGCACATCATGAGAAAGGCGGGGCTAGATGAATCACCAGTTGGAATTAAGATTGCTGGGAGAAATATCAACAACCTCAGATATTCAGATGATACCACTCTCATAGCAGAAAGTGAAGAGGAACTAAAGAGACTCTTGATGTGGGTGAAGGAGGAGAGCGCAAAAGTTGGCTTGAAACTCAACGTTAAGAAAACTAAGATAATGGCATCCGGTCCTCTCACTTCCTGGCAAATAGATGGGGAAGAAATGGAGGTAGTGACAGATTTTATTTTCCTGGGCTCCAAGATCACTGCAGATGGGGACTGCAGCCAAGAAATTAAAAGATGCTTGCTCCTGGGGAGGAAAGTTATGGCAAATCTAGACAGCATACTAAAAAGCAGAAACATCACCCTGCCAACAAAAGTGTGTATAGTTAAGGCTATGGTTTTCCCAGTTGCAATGTATGGCTGTGAAAGCTGGACCATAAGGAAGGCTGAACTCAAAAGGATTGAGGCCTTTGAATTGTGGTGCTGGAGGAGACTCCTGCGAGTCCCTTGGACCACAAGGCGATCAAACCAGTCAGTCCTAGAGGAGATCAACCCTGACTGCTCTTTAGAAGGCCAGATCCTGAAGATGAAACTCAAATACTTTGACCACCTAATGAGAAGGAAGGACTCCCTGGAGAAGAGTCCAATGCTGGGAACAATAGATGGCAAAAGAAGAAGGGGATGGCAGAGGATGAGGTGGCTGGATGGAGTCACTGAAGCAGTTGGTGTGAGCTTGGGTGGACTCCGGGAGATGGTGGAGGACAAGAAGGCCTGGAGGAATGTTGTCTATGGGGTCGCGATGGGTCGGACACGACTTCGCAACTAACAACAACAACAACAATAATAAAGCATAATTTATATTATAGTAAATATATTATGAAACATACAATAGAACTAGTAGGCAGAAAAAACAGAGCTGCCAGATAAAGCCATAATCAACCATAAGGTATTTGGGAAACTATTTTAGTGTATAACTTACTACAGTGAAGGCAAACCTTCAGCTATCTGAGGATTTGTCTGCAGAATGCTTCTGGTTATTTTCACCCATCCTTGCCCAGAAAACTAAATATACCTCTAGTGCTGCAAGATAATCAACATTCAAATAGATTAGAAATTATCTGGCATACATAATTTTCAAAGTAATCAATCCACCTGGTGAAATGTAAAACTGTGCTTGAAAGACGAACCCATTATTTGATTTACCCATCAATTGATTTAATTGAAGTTACCTCTGTCCCTGAGAGAATTCTGACATTGTATTGCTATCAATCTATAGGTCATTTGGACCAAATCACAGCAATTGGAGAAACCCAGCAGGAATTTATTATTGCAACAGTCTCCAGGGATGGTACTTTCAAATTGTGGGATTTAAGGGTTGGCAAGGTCATCTTCACTCTACATATACTTGAGCAGAATATCAGTGCTATTGCTTTATGTTTGGAGAACAGATTGGTGGCTATGTCTGACAGAACCACCATCAAAGTCTGGGATCTTTCTTTGGAAAGAGTGGTGTATACTGCTGGCGAGTTTTTCGATACTCCGATATTAACATCTGCAATGAATGGACAACTCCTGCTTGTTTTTTTTAATGGCAATCACAAGGTTCAGGTGAGTTTGTTAGGTTTCTTTTTAATTCTCTTTCATTACTTGAAACAATGTTGGTATTTCATCAATCACTATTAGTTTAGACAACTGACAATGTAATTCTATGCCTACCAAGAAAAGCAGTTGAGTTCAATGGGCCGTAGTCCTGGAAAAGTATGCATACTGTATAGGACTGTAGGCTAAAGGCTTTAAACATGTATAATAATTAATGGCGACTCTCTTCCTAATATTGTATGCCTAACTTTCAGTGCAGGTTATATATGCCCTTGTTACACATTTATGAAGTAAGATGGGAGCTATCACTTCTGCAGTGACTTCCACAAATGTATACAAATCTCTGTGTACACAGTGGGTTCCCTTGTAAGTTTACGTAACATCACCCTTTTTGGAGCTATAGCGTCTGTGTGTTTATAGCAGTGAAGCCTGGTCACATTAAGAGAGGGACCATAGCTCTGTGGCACCGTACCTGCTTTGCATACAGACGTTTCCAGTTCAAACAGGAGAAAATGCCCACCTAAAACACCTGAGTCATTGCCAGGAAGCATAGATAATGCTGAGCTAACTGTAGTGATGGTATGATTCAGTGTAAGGAAGCTTGAGTTCATATTTATCTATTTATTAGATTTATATCCCACCTTTTTCTTTTTAAAGAACTCAAAGTGGCTTACATAATTCTCCTCCTGCTGCTCTCAGTCTTCTCCCCACAAGAACAACCCTGTGAGGTAGGCTGGGCTGAGAGTCTGTGACTGGCCCAAAGTCACTTAGCTGGCTCCACAGCTGAGCAAGGACTAGAACCAGATCACCTGACTCCCAGTCATGCACTCTTAATCACTACACCACATTTGGCTTGATATATTCCTAGGAGCAATGTCTGAGAAACCACATCGACTTACACACAGAGAGGAAGAGAAATATAGATATGGGATGTAAGACAGTTTACAAATTTCAACAGAACTTAGCAATTGCTACCTTTTGGAGGACAGCATGCATAGATTACCAGGCCTTTATAAATCTTATAGATCCTGAGAGTGAGATGGACTCAAATACAGAGTGGGCTTGAAAATGGTTCACTGTTTCTTTTTCTCATCATACACTGCACAATGTGGATTCAGTAAAGTGTGGCAGGGGAGCCATATAACATGGCTTTAAATGTATACGAAATAGTTGGCAGCCAATCAAACCCATTCATTTTTATGCTGCATTGTTTCAGGTCTTTGATCTCACTTGCTCATGCCAGTTGCTCCATGAAGTGTACCTTTCTACAGAAGAAGTGCCTATCCACAAAAAACGGTCCATACTGGTGTCGAGGAATTCAGTCAAGGATTATGTTCTGTGTGCCTACAGGTTTGCACAGGACCTAATTCATTTCATAAGTATGTTTTTTTTAATCTTCTGCATAAAGAGAACCTATGGATTCAGAAATTCCTGGTTTGCAATGTTCAGCAGTTTTCATGAGGAAAAAAAAGTCTTGAAGTGGGGATCTGCCTGTCACTTCTTTGACATACTCTTAACTGTTTCTCCACCTTTTTGCCCATTGTACTGCCATGGCCAAATGCTTCCGTTCCCAGCTTCCCTCTGTAGTCTGAATTATATCAGAATGGACTCTAGTGTGTGATGGTGCGAGTATGAGAGAGAAAAAATATTAACAGTAATTGCCTCAAAGTTTTATATATAGTGGAATCTGAAATTCGGAGGAATAAAATTCAGTTTTGTGTACCTGCTTGTTAGGCAATGTAGTTTGCAGCCAACCATGGCTATGATGAGGCAAATATCTGATCTCTTTGGGAATACTAGTAAAGGACTTAGTTTTGGACTCATGACGCTTGAAAAAAACTTATGCTGTTGATATATTGCTTTGTGGGTTGACTGATTTCTAGAAAGGAGGACTCGGGCATGGTTCCAAGGCTAGGTTTCGCTCTGTATCTTTTCTTCCTGTTCACATTCTTGTTCTCATTCAAACATGTACCTCCTTTAGAGACACACGTGTATCTTTGACTTCACTAGAGCATGACCACTCAGTGTTGATTTTGTAGCATCATGGCTTCAGCAAGTATTTTCTCCCCTCTCTTCTGCAGAAGTGGAAGTGAAGCCATGGTCTTCAGTGGCAAGAAAGGGAAAGTAGTAGCTAAGCTGAAAAGCCAGGAACCGATGGTGGCTGCTGAGGATGTGGCAGTAACTAAGGAATACTTCCTGGTGATCTTCAGGTAGTATTGCTCAGAGCCAAGCAGATCTTTCCCTCTTCCTAGCTTTCTGTTTGCCATTCTATTTTACATGAAAAAGATCCTGTCTTTATTTCTTGAAACATGGTAAAATAGTCAATATATGATGCTATTCACTGTGCAATTCTATACCTGTTTACTCAGCAGTAAACTTTAGTGACCTCAGTGGGACTTTCTCCCAGGTAAATAAAGCCTCAGAGTGTAACGTAGCCAACTAAAGGAGTGTTATAGGGCTTCCGGTCCCATTGGCCTAGCTAGTAGGGTCAATGATCAGGGATGGGACTGAGCAACATCATGGAGGTAACAGGTTCCCCACCACTATTCTAGAAAAAGCAGAGGAAGTTGACCATACCGGTGTTATGATTTCATCTCTAAGTGCCTAGTTTTTCATATGTTCTTCTTAAATATTTGCCTTTACTCAGACCTGGGATGAATGTGAATGCTACAGAGGTTCTAGTTAACAACTTGAAACATTTTAACATTATTCCAGGAGATATATAAACCTACCACATGATATGTTCTTAACCAAATTGAGCCTTTATTAGCACTAATACTAATTAATTTGTAACATAAGCTATATTTTATTGGCCTGTGCTATAGGTAAATATTAGTCCCAGTTTATAAGTAGGGAAATTAAGGCTGATAACAATTTGTCTAAGAAGTCCACATATTGACTGTGTTTGGATGATCACCATTACCTAAATAAGTCATGGAGGTTGCAGTGTGTACCGGGTGGCTTTAATATTCAAGCCACAAGTGTGCCATTTTGTAGCTGAACTTGGTGTGGGTGAATTGTGCAAACTTTGCATAACCCATGGCCTACTTTAGGGATGCGCCACAGTCCCAAGTCTACACCAATGGCCTCCTGAATTCTAATTCAATTTGATGAAACTGTCTTCTACAGGAAGATTTTTGAAAAACTTTTCACACTTCTGTTTCTCAATGCAAGTTTTTCTTTCAATCTTTTCTTTCTTATTTTTTTCATTACTACTGCTTTTCATACATGTCCAGAAAAGATAATTCGAATCTCTGTTCAGAAAAACCATTTATTTTCTTATTATAGGTGTCCCTTCATGAGACAGCATGAGATTGTTCATATAGAGTTATACAATGTCCATACGTTTGCTTATGCTCACAATCTGAAAGGATGTGGTAATGATTATATTCACACTTTTGCTGTGAATCATTCGGGCTCTCATCTGGTGGCATTCAGCCCTATTCCAAACACCAACACCACTGAGATAATATCATGGAACTTGGAGTCTGAAGACCATAAACACTTGGCTAAATTTCCTTCAGTTCCAGCTGATGGTGAGTAATTTTTTCTAGAGTGTTCAACACTCTCTATAGGAAAAGTGCTTTGCAGAAGTCCAGAAGCAGGTGAGTTGCACCAGTTAACAATGAAAATAAAAGGAAAGTATCAAAATATGGAGTGACTGGTGCTGACATCCATCACCATGTGGCTCTAGGGAAGTTCATCAGGAAATCAGTCTGAAAATAGAGATAGATCTGAAGCTACAATCAAATACACATGACATTAATAAATCAATAAACAAAGACAATACCATTCAAACAATGTATACTGATTCACTGGCCAGTTTCTTCAGCATGCTACAGGAGAGTGATGAATCTCAAGAGACAAGAACAAATGGGGATCTGAGATTGCATAATTCAATGAATCACTTACTAAAATAAACAGATTAGGTGCCTACATTTTATACATGGATAACTTATTAGCATTAAAAATACATTCTTTTATAAGTGTGCTGCACTTACCACATATTGTTCAACCATATAACAATGAGCTCTATGAAACCTTAAAGTCAAATTTATTATGGCATAAACTTCCATGAATAATAGTCCACTCATCAGATGCGTGAAGTATCCTTCTAAATTACTGAAGTCTTCTTAAGTTATCTTTCTGTTAAGTTTTCTCCTAAAAATCATAGTGAAGCTTAGAGCACCAGAAACTAGGGAAATAGCACCATGAGAATTGTTAACAGTTGCCTGTTCAAGTTCCTGAGTGGGAATTCAACAGCTTTGAAATTTTGGAATATCTTGTGAATATGAGTAGACTTTTTGTCCAGATGAAGAAGACTCTAAGGTGTTGGACATCTTTCCTGATCAAATAGATTATATTATAAACTTACACTTGATACCAGCTAAACTCTGTCACTGTCATTTATGCAACCTGCCTCAACTCACCCTCATGGCTTTAGTTTGAAACAGCTCTAGAATTTAACTTAATAATACAGATGAGAGCACCCTTTTCATGAGTGCCCTCCATCTGTTCAATGACCACACAGAACAGGAGCGGTCCTGCCTCTAGTACCAACAACACTTGCTCCTCCCCTTGTGGAAGAAACTGTAAACAGGGACCCTGCATGAATAACATGCAGAATGTACACGATCCATTCTGCATCCCAAATTTGTATTTGAGCAAATGTAGGGTAGCTTTACCTCACTGTGGGCAACCAGAGCCTGTCCTCACAAATCCAAGCTTTTAGATTTAGTTTGGGCTTCACTGCCCAGTTTCACAAAGAAAATTGCCTCTCATCCAACTAGCCCAGGGAAGAAGTAGTAGATGTAAATATTGGGAACATAGGAAGTCACCTTATACAGAGCTCACAATAGCTGGCAGCAGCTCCCCAGAGTTGCAGGCATGATTGTTTCCAGCCCCAGCTGGAGAAACCAGTGATAGAACTGGGGATGTTCTCCATGCAAAGTATGTGTGCTCCCAATGAGCTGCAGCTCCTCCATTGTCTTGATAAAGGACCACACTATTAAAGGATTGCCGCTATATGATGGACTGTTGTTGTTGACTGAACAGTGATACAAAACATTATTTTTTAAAAAAAAATATGCAGGTGTATGCTCTGACCTTCGATACTGTTTAGCATTTTGTGATGGAGAGAATTACCTTCGATCCTGGAACCTGGCCTCCAAGATCAATGACCAATCTTTGACTGTCACTGCAAGCAAAGCTAAGAAAGTAAATGGTATTCAGCATATTGTGACAATGGAGAACTATCCCAGGTAATAAGAAACCAAAAGACAATGTATTAATTACTGTTTTAAATAGTGTTCTTGGCAAGCAGCATTCAAAGAAATCTTGCTGAACATCTTTCAAAAACAAATCCTAGGCATGTGATGCAGGCAAAAACACTCAGAGGTCTTGTTGCCAAAGTCAAGATTTGTAACATTTCTCTGATGGTAACAGCCTAAAGTGTCTGATCCCTCAGCTACTTCCAGAATATTGACATTGCTGTAGTCAGGCTTTGTATGTTGTTTGCTTAGAAGAAAAAGCCAAAACAAGAATTGGGGCCGAATGAATGAGAATCTGTGTCATTTGTTTCGTTTGCATACTTTGCTCTGCTTCTTGCATGTTGTGTGCGCTGTTGTGGGTGTGGGAATCAGATTTGGCATACTGACCCTCATCTATCCCATCATCACATCCAAGAACTAATGACGCCTTCCCACTACCTTACCTGAATCTGTTGAAGAGGAGCAATAGAACTGGTTGCCATCTGTGTATTGATGATATTTCACTCTAAATACCTGGATGACAGTACCCAGCAATTTCATGTGGATGTTAAAAGAGGGTGGGGGGTGGGCTGAGAAATCTGTGGCTCATCAGATGTTGAATTCCAATTCTTCTCACCCCCAACCACCACAACCAATGCTTAGGGATAATAGAAACAGTAATTTATTATCACAGGTTTCCCACCTCTGCCGAAAGGATGATATACCTTACATTATAATACATAGATCTGTATGTGAATCTTTTCCTTCCTTTCTAAGGAATGAGATCTTTATTTTGTGACTTTCCTATAATGATCTAGAAGCTTGAATTCATTCACTCAATTTATACCAGAGATAGAAGTCATGTCACCTGCAAATTGCTGTTCGATTACAACTCCCTTGATCCCTCACCGTTGGCTATGCTGGCTAGGTTTGATGGGAGTTGTAATCCAACAACACCCAGAGGTCCACGCATTCCTTATGCCTGCTCTATGTTGCACATTGTTCATCTGATTTTGCAGGTGTTATCATTCCCTGTTGCTTGTTTCTAGAATTCTCTTGGGCTCTTCTCTCTGCAACATTTGGAAATCCCGCTCTGTGCTCCCTGTGACTTCTGGCTTGGCACTTAACTTCATAATCATCAGGTCTAGAATTAAAACAAAAACATACACACTCAGAGCCACAGCTTCAGAGTTCTATATACTAGCACATGAAATGGTGCAAAACACAATTTTAAATACTGCTTTTACCTGCTGCTTTGTTACTAATCATTTAGGTTATTTTATTACAATAATTTTACTGTTATGATCTTCTAGAGGCTTTTTTGTAGAACCACTCTGGAAAAACAACTAAAGGGCAGTACAAACACCTGTAAACTAAAGCACACAGTGCTGACAATTAAAATATTGGATGCACTTCCACACAGTGCTGTAGATACATATCCATGTTAGAGATACACAGGACACCTTAGATGAGGCATTATGGCTCAGAGCTGGTAACAAAGAGCAGCCCAGATGATCATGTTTCTCATCAGGCGGCTGGCCAATTTTCACAGAAGAAAGGACAATTCTGGTTCAGAGCCATTTTGTAGCACAACAGTCTTTTTATAGAAAACAAACACACCTTACCTGGTTTGGACGGACCAATAACAAGCAAATCAGGGTTTGATTGCAAGTTAATTGTGAAATTGCAGGTTAATTGTGAAAAACAGAAGCTGCTCAGGCACACCAGACAACTTGACTGTTATGCACAAACAGGGCTCTGTTCCCCCTAATTTGTTCTGCTGAAGCAACAACTGCTCAAGATGCAGAAAAGCCTTTCCATTTTCATAGATATAATGTGAGGCAAAATGAGTGAAAGCTCTGCCATGATATGGCTGCCAAAAGCCTGACACTGTAAGAACAGCTTTAGACTTAAGTTGGGATCCTGATCTGATCAGCAAACCCTGTTGTAAGTCTTATTCCCTACTTCAGATATGCTAATATATGCCTCCACTGAAACTTGTTCCTTTTGTGTTGTCTTAATCCAGCCAACCCTTTTGTTTTACTCTCACGTACCTCTAGCAAACTGCCTATCTGATCCCCCCGCTCCAACTAACTGATGTAACTAATAAGTTATAAAAGCATCCTGTACAGGCTCCATCTTTGTAGTCCCTCTGGGAGCTACCGAAATACATCCTGCATGTAGTTCCTGTATATCTGAATAAACTGTACATGTTCATTCGCTTGTACACCCCCAGTGGATTCTCTCTGGGTTTCTTGTCCATAACAACATAAAGTTGTTATTACAACAACAACAAAGTTGTTGTTATGAAGCACAGTGTTACAGTTCATTGTCAATCTCCAATTGCACAGATTTATATAGCAATTCTTATCCTAATTTTACAGCATGAAGTCACTGAGCCCTGCACCTCTGGCATAGAACACCCTTCTCTTTGTGCACTAAAATACAAATATAAAAATAGAGAAAGGCTTGGTGAGCAGTAGATGACTGGACATGATAATTTTTTCCACTAGCAGTTCTACCCCCAGCTCCTGCCAGCACACAATTAACAACACTTGTAGAACCTTTGGTATATATCATTGACGAAAGTCTTCATGCAACCTTTTCCAAGGTATGCCGTGTGCCAAAATACCAGTCCAGGAGTCATAACAGTGTGGAACATAATGAAATCAAAGTGTAAACACAATGCTGTGAGAGTGGAGAGAGGGCTGGTAACAAATATGGATATAGTCCTGGTTAGAGACATGAAGCTTTATATCCTTACTGACAAAGGAATGGCCTCCTTCGCAGATCCTCCGAGACCCATTTTCCAGGTACCAACAAAGCTTTCCACTATAAATATAGCTAGCTTTCTTTTAAGTTGTTGGCAATAAAGTCAAGCTGCCAAGAAAATAATCAGCATATTTTTCCCTACTGGAAGCAGAAATAAGTTTTTATACCTTTCCAGACCCTGTTAGTTTATGATCTCCTGAAAAAGAAGTACATAAAGAAACAGACTGGCCTTTACATAATTCCTTGTCCAAGTGATGAGTACAAGATCCTTGAAGGAGGCCTTCTACTTGGTCTCTCAGAGAACAGGTAAGATTTTTGCAGCTCCTGCAAAGGTAATGTGATCTTTGTTTCTGTTATTATCACATCATCATTATAACTAGATTAGACTACTTCTAGGTGTCAAAGCTTAACTCATGTCTGTAGCAGTATCATGGGATGAAAAAGCAGCGAAGCTCCTCTGTCTGGCAAATACAAATCAGGTCACGTGTCCTTTTAAGGATAAGAAGAGAAAAACAAGATGATGTAACCATTCTTATGTTACCAAAATTTATTTATTTATTGCATTTGTATTCCGCCCCATAGCCAGAAGGCTTTCTGGGCAGCTCACAGTGCAATCATAAACAAAAATACAGATAAAAATAGATGACAATAACTAAAACCATAAAACAACATGGGGTTAGTTTTAGAAAATACATTAGGTTAGGTCACCCTTTCTCATACTGTGTAAACTCTGACAGCTTCTAAACTTAAGATACTTTAATTATGCAACTGTATTATTATTATTATTTTAATTAAGAATTGTCTTGGGTTTTTTTAATGCAGAAAGATAATATGTTTCTAAATAAAGGTATAAAACCTAACTTACAATATTTGCAATCACACAATAAAGGGATAGATTCAGAAAGATTAATTTTGTTGCACATTTTAGGGTAAAACTAGTTCTACAGTTTCCTCGAGGCTTTAGAAAGTCCCTTTGACAAAGTCCTGTTTGCCTTGCATTGTCTATACTGTATTTTCAGAGACCATTTTATCATCTGGAACATGGAAACAGGCTTTATTAAGGATCGAATAAGACCAGAATACAAGGAAAAGTCTTGTTTGCAAGCTGCTCAATCTAACCATTCGTTCTCCAAGGAAAACATCAATCTATACAAAGGAGCTTTGTCTAAAGAAGTAACAGGTTTCAGACACTTCATTATAATTTAAAGCTGTATTGCTAAAACTGAAAATGATTATTACATGCAAGATGACTGATGAGTAATCATAACCAAAGCATAGAGAGTCCATGGTATTTATATAAAGTACATATGTTATATAATTTATTTTAAATATGCAGCAGAGATGAAATGTGAAAATCTTACAGAAGATCTAGATTGCTATCTCATTCTGGAGTTGGGTAATCTGGTAGTCATCTACCTATATAGGTAAGGCAGAATAGATGGAACAATATATTTGTGAGGCAGTAAACCAGTGTGATGTTGTGTTTAAGAGCACGGGACTGTGACTCTAGTCCCACTTGACCATGAAGCCAACTGGGTGACGTTGGGCCAGTCCAGACTCTCAACCCAATGTACCTCACAGGGCAGTTGTTGTAGGGATCAGATTGGGAGCAGCAGCAGGAGAATGCTTTGAGTTCATTGTGGGGGAAAGTGGAATATAAATCAAATAAATATATAATAAAATAATATATTTTGTTAAACCAGCACATCATTTATGAACTACCCAGAGAGCTTCAGATGTGGACATTATGGAAACACAATCAATTAACTGATAGATATGAAATCATTGAAAGCTTTTTGAGGAATACTACAGGTTCATGGGAAGAAGAGAAAAATAATATGTCCAAGTAAATACTGTTAGTCATCTAGGATATCCTGAAGATAGTGCCAGATCTATTGATTTGATTTTACATAATTTGAATAATGTCCAGAAGAGATGGAAGTTTTGTACCTTCTCCACCTGAATAGGCCTAAGGCAGCTGCATGGTTTTCAAGGCTGGATTCTGAAGCCTCTCTCTCTCATCCTCTGAACTGGGCAAGTCTTGGATTTGCTTTTCCTAACCAGATGATCAAGCAGATGATGCTCAGATATTCTTTGATGAAGCTGATTTATCTGAATCCATTTCAATCTAGGCTTGGAACTAATACTGCTTTGGTCACATTAGTAAATGATCTATGTTGGAACAGACAAGGACAGCATGACTCTGCCAGGCCCCTTTTACCACTCCAGCAGCTTTTGATATTATCAGCCACAGTATCCCTTCTGAACACCTTTCAAAACTGGACTTGGGCACCAGTTTCTGCCTGTCTACTTTTCTGGAGGCCAGGTCCTAAAAGCTGGTACTAGGTGACTATTCTGCCCTGTGGGAGTAATTCTATATTTTTCCTTAGCATCTACACAAAAATCAGTTCCATTTTTAAAAACTTTGACACAAAGCCATTGGAAGAACTTGTCCAGATTTTGGGGATAAAGGGTCATCAGTAAGTTAATAACACTGATCACTATTTCACATTTTAGGCAGATCAGAACATTAACCAGAAATTCTGATAGATTGGACCAGGATGAATAAATTTAGGCTTAATCTAAACAAAGTAGGGATAATTGTGGGCTATTCAGTGGACTGATTAGCTTGGAAAAGGCCTGTTCTGGATGAGAGTATTCTCTCCCAGAAGGCCCAGGTTTCCAGTGGGGGCACCAGGCACTGCTGCTAGATGCCTCATTTGCTACTGGAAGGTAGGAATTCAGCATTGACTACGGAATTGTTTGCAGGTGCAATTCAAGAAGCTGCTTTAATCTTTAAAATCCTAAATGGCCTAAGACTCGATTATCTCAGAGAATGTTTATTTCTTTATGAGCCTTTCCAGTTATTAAGCCTTACCAATGACACCTTGCAAAGATTCTGAAGGTTAACCTAGCCCCTACGGTGATGCAAGCTGCTGCTTCTTTAACACTGTGCCTCATGAGGCTCCATCTTCATTATCTTTCGGTAGCCAGGAACAAGGTTGTTGGTAGTTGCCTTTGCTAGTGAATTTGTTAGATTTTAACTGAAAAGTGGGATAACTGAGAAACCGATGGCTTCCATGGCTTTTAAAATGGAAACATTAAAACAGCTCAGGGTTTGACACTTTTGTTTAAAGTTGGAATAGTTTTTACTCTAGGGTTTGTAAAGAACTTCCTGTTACTTTGTCTAAAATACCTAATACTCCGAGTCTTGTGTGCAAATACAGCATGCTTGCTACTGTATTTGCCTTCTTAGCATGGTATTCCCACAAGTAATCTCAAAGAGGCGGCTGAACTGAATCTTTACCCTTTTATGGATTAGAAGCAATGGGAAAGAAGAGGAGAGTCACTGTTCAGAGGGACAATTTGAGAAGTGCAGTTCATGAAGCAGTAGAACATAGTGGGGCAGGGAAGAGAAGAGTTGCCTGGCTAATGTTCAATATTTTTACAAATAATACTCTAAAAATAATCAGAAGAAAAATGCAAGAATTCAGAAACTAACAGGTCACTGCTGCAGAATTCCTCACTAATAGCAGAGACACCAGCCAACAGATTCCTGCTTCATTTATTCTGACTTTATTAATATTTATATCCCACCTTTTCTTGTTTCAAGGAACTCAAGGTGGCTTATATAATTCTGTTCCTCCTTTCAATCTTATCTTACAACAACCTTGTAAAGTAGGCTGGGCCAAGAGGCTGTGACTGGCCCAATGGCACCCAGTGAGCCCCAGGGCTGAGTGAAGACTAGTATCCAGATCACTTCAGTTCCACACACTTCACCATTGCACCACACTGCTTTACTCAGTCACAACCAAATACCACATGACTCTCAAGAACAGGTGTGTTATGCAATGGTGAGAATTGCTTTCCCCAATGAATATATATTGCAGCTTGAATATTGGCTGGATGTGATAATTCAGCACCATCAGCTCCTATCCTGGCCCAGTTCCACTACAAGAACAGAACACCTGCTGTGTATCTATTGCTCAACACCCTTCAGCCCCTTTTATAAGAAGTTTTCTTCCCAATTGTGTTAGTCACTTTAGCAAAACAGGACTAGAAGCTATGGTCAGGGTCCAAAGAATCATGTTCAGTACACTCAAGAGATATTTAAATGTGATTACTCCCACACAGCAACACACAAGGCTGCATAGCAAACAGCTTTTAAAAAGTAGGGGTTTCAAGAGTAGTTTGTGATTTGCCATTTGGGGCCATCAGTTCCAAGTGAAAAAATTGACCAAACACAAAGAAGCCCTTGGGGGAGCCTGAAGTACTTTGGATCTTGGCTCATCTGTTATATTGGACTCCAACATTAATTTGTATCCAATCTTACCAAGATACTCATGGAGGCTTATAACTATTAAAATTTTCTGATGCAGATATTGAAACCACAATAGGAACTTATTTGTAATCTATATTATATGTATCATATTGCTTACATCTCAGAGTTATGGCTTCCTTGGGAAAGGCGTACCGAAACTATGACTGGAAAGAAAAGGAGATGGGAAAAGGTAGAAAAGCTCAATATGGAAATATTACAAGAACTAGCTAATGAGAAGAGCAATGCTATTGACCAGTACCTTCTGAGTGGAGATGAAAAGGTAGGAGGCAATGTCTTAAACATTGTATGGAATGGTTCACTTGCAATGACAGTGCATGAGTTGTTTAATTCATGGGCTTAACAACCTGAGTGAGCATGTATTGCATCCTGCCCTCTAGCTGTTTTGCACACACTTTGCACACACTTTGCACCTGTTATTAGTCATGACAGCCAAGGTTTGTTTTGGGGTTAAACCTTTGGGTTCATTATCCATCAGCAATCCAAAGTGTTGGGTTTAGACATCATGACATCTCAAGAAGGAATATTCTTGGCTCTTTTGGAAAGCAGATGCAAAACAGAAGTAGCAAGGGAGCAAAAGGCAGTACACTCATTTACTCTTGCATGGCCCAGCTGACTCATAGGTTGCTTAAATGTAGCCTACACACATACCTACACACACACACACACTTCAGTACCTGTTGTTTCTTTATTATTACTGTATTAGTATCATTATTAAAATGCTGTATTGTATTTAAGATGTTTTAGTGTATGTGGAACTGTTTCTTGAGTGTTTTATATGCTTTTGATAGATATGATATGATGTACATACAAATCCAGCTTAAAGACAATCTCAGGAACAGAACTCATTCTTAACCTGGGAAACAGCTGTAGTGGCAAATCTCCCATCAGCTGCCTCAGCTGACATTCACTTGTACCACTCCTGCCGGGATCACCTGCCTCTTCCTCATTGGCCCACAGGCTCCCCTGGGTACGGCCTCAGTCAGCTGCTCCTGGTTTTTTGCTTTTGCAGCTCAGCGAAGCAACCATGTTTGTCTTGCAGCTGTGGAGCAGGGGACAACAGGCCTTGCTGAGGGTCCTTAGGAATGTCAGGGACAAGATAGAGTGGAAGGGAGGGCAGAAGACAGAGAAAGAGACGCAGGCTTCTCAGGTCAGCTGTCCTGATGGTGGTGTCCATACATTGCCCAAGAACATTCAATGGGTCCTGAATCAGGTAGAGGTGGCTCTTACAGAAAATGAGATGTTCAGCAACTGATCCAAGGCCTTATTCCAGGAAATATTCTGTTGCAAGATGCGCAGGGTTCTCAAAGGATATAGGGAGTAAGACAGATGATCCAATCTCAGTAGCAGTATAGAAATGGCAGCTTTATAGCCTTTCTCTTTATTCCCATTTATCCAGCTGGCCTCTATTTAATTTGTCCAGTTTTAGTTTGTCCAGCTAATCCCTTTTATACAGCTGTTAGTTGTAAAAGGAGTAATTCATCCAACATTTCACAGAAACCCATTTGTGACCCAAGATTTTTTAAAAATGGCCCACTTTCTTTTCAGATAGTTGTGTGTTCCTACTATGCACATCACCTATCTGTGTTCAGCTTGGAAACCATGTCCCACCTCTACACCCTCGAGAGTAGAGAATCCATGCTTTTCTTGCACAATGCTGCCTTGACCTATAATGGCCATTACCTGGTACTCTCCAATTACACCGAGGTGGAGAAAGTCAACTATTTAACACTATGGAATTTAACTACAGGAAAGGTATTGCTTTTGAAAGGCATATTTAAAATGGTAAACATTTTATTTGCAATGAAAAGACATTTCTTTTAAAGCACACTCCCTTTCAAGCTCTACTGATTGCTATTTAAAATTAATGGTACCAAGTATGTCCAGGTTTGTAATTTTGGGCCTAGTGTCCTATCACCCATTCATCCTGCTCTAAGCCAAATACCCAGACACACCAGCTTGCTTTTAGCATCCAGTCCAGCTTCTAGTAGGTTACCCATTTCTTGGAACAGGTGGCTCTCTATTACATATTTTTTGTCATTCCAAAGTCCTAGAATAGAATGCAGCACAGGAAAAGTGGGAAAGGGCAGGAACAACATTACCTCCAATGAATCAGTGTTTCAGTTAACCATCTGTAGTTACCCAAGGGAAAGGGTAGCCTCATATGCTGGGACTGGTGATGTGTAATTTACCCCCAAAACAGGTGTCTGTGCATATCAAAAATACTTAAAAATGGTTTCTCTCTCCCTTAAAAATGTAGATTAGGAAAAGATTAAAAAATGAGCCAAATGTTTGCTGTACAGCTATTACCGCTGATGCCAGTAGAATAATTTTTGGAGTGATGATGGAAAACAGGTAAGCAAAAAACATATGCTTGCTCATTAAATCACATTTCTTTTGAATAAAGATGTCTGGTAGTTTGGCAAGAAACAACTGAGACCTATGTAAGAGCTTATGTCTTATGCTGTGTTTTATGGTCTCAAGCATACACACACGAGAAGCATAGACAATCTGTGCTTGCACTGAATTTTAAGTAGACACTAAGTAAAGGGCTACTTTTCACTGGAATTATATTTCCTGGTGAAAAGACTGCAAACAAAACTTAACCCTTCATCAGGTGTGGCAGCAAGAAGTTAGAATTACTACTGTTTAATTCAACAATTTGATTTAGGATCTTGCAATTTTGATTTTGGATCTTGGGCAGACAAAGGGGATTTCACATTCCCGATGCAAGTACCCCCCCCCCCCCCAAAAGGACAGGCCCATGCCACATCAAGCAAGCTAGTATTCATATTTTAATGCTAAGTATGCTTCCCAAGCCACTGAATGCTTGCCAAACAAAAGCAGGGAAATGGGCCATTTCCTAGATGGCTGCTCCTATACAGGCCACTTAGACTACAAAGACTTTTGCATCATAACTGAAAATTGTGCAATTAATCTAGTAAAAAGAGGCCATGGAGGAGTTATCATCAAGCTTTGAGTGCTAAAGGAATAAACTATGGATTAACCAGAGCAGTATTTAGCAAAACTACCCATCTACCTTTACTTGGACTGTTAACATTATGTCTATCCAAACAGGTATGCTGTGGGGCACACCAGATTTCATTGAAAAGGAGGACAGGTTGAAGAAAATGCAAACTTGTGTTCAATGTTTATATACAATTTATTGCCCAATCAGTCTGTTACACTGAAAACTACAGAACTGATAAAATCTTCCTGTCCTGTTTTCTAGGATTAAGATTTGGGATCCATTTATGCACAGACACAGATTAATTCAAGGCTATGATGGTCTTCATCTGACCGTGAACAGCAGACTGCACATATTAGATGGGACACAGGCTGTCCTGCTTGCAGGTTTGTTAAAAATAATATTCTGAAGTGGCCGCTGCTTTTGAAGTTTAGAAAACACACAACATATCCAGAAATATATTTTTTGTCACAAAGTCTGTGATCAATTCCATTTTCAATCATAAATTGTGTTATTTGTCACCAATGGTTAGCTTAACAACTGATGATATAACAAAGGTAATTTGTAGAAGGTACCACTAAAATGGATGCATTTTTATAGAATGCCCCTAAAAACCATGCAGACTCTTCTCAAACATTATGTTGACATGGTTTTTACCTTTCAGCCACTCATGCAAGTTGCTGCTGCAGCTTCATACATTCTAAAATCACATTATCCTAGTAAGAAAGCTAAATTGCATGCAAATGACTGGTGCACCTGTATGAAACACCGGCTGGTGAATTTTCAAAAACAGTCTCAAGATATAACCTTATCACTCCCATGGCAGATACACACAAGCCTCCAAACTCAGAGGCTTACAAGTGCCCTTCAATCTGAACACATCTGCCTGCCTGCCAGGCCTTTACAGAAGCATTCCAACTAAAGTGCACTGTAACATGTGGCCAGAAAACATTTGCTAAAATAGAAGCACATTTTAACAAACTACATTTATGAACAGGACATCATTGCTCATTAGTAGTTCAGGGAGCTACTACTAATTTTACAGCTTTAGCATATATCTGATCTTCAGGCATCTGTTACAGTGTGCAACCAAACTAGCAGTGCAGCTTCAGTCTACACTGATCACTCTTACATTAGTTTATGATATTTTTCATTTAGCTGCTACAACCAAACAACATGAATCCAGGCTAACTGAATAGTTATCCTAGGACAGCTTGGCAATTAATTTAACCGAGATCATTCTTAAATCTGAAAAGGTATTTGAGTCAGAGGCACTGAGTCTATCCATTGAGCCTCCCTTGAAAATCAAAACATAAGTGAGCTCTTTAATCCTATCATCGCTAGTATTTTTAATTAATTTATATACTGCCTTTTTTCTTCCAGTCTCTAAGGCAATTTACTTAGTTCCCCTCCTCACCGTTTTATCCTTTTAAGAACCCTGTGAGGTGGGCTAGGCTGAGAGTCAGTGACTGGTCCTGAGCTTCATGGCTAAATGAGGACTAGAACTCAGATCTGCCAAGTCCCAGTCCACACTCCAAGCACAGCACTACACCGGTTTGCAAACTATAAGGAGCAATTGACACTTCGGCAAGGCCCCATCTCAATTCTTACTCCTATTTCCACGCATCTTGGCTCACACAAGTGAGTCCCTAATGTACATAGAAAGACTTTGCCAAAGCCTCTTCACTGTCGAGTGGAAAAAGTTAGATACAGTTTTGTTAGTTTCAGTACAGATGAAGAATGTGCAAGGGGTAGTGATGGCTGGGAAACTATGCTGAGGCCAGTGGAAAGTTTCTGGGGAGCACATTGGATTTTCACTTGCTCATCATTATCTATAGTAACTCAAGAGGATCGGTTCAAGGATCACTAAACTGAGTCTTCAGACCATGACTTGGAAATTGGGAAAGTGCAGCAGCTTTGCTAATTCCACTCTAATACAGCCCTATTGCCTGCTTACTGTAATCATAGTTTTTCATGTCATTCATATCAGCAAACTACGCTTAGCAACTGCTGATGGTTAATGCTAACCATATTTGCCCACTGTGGATATCACAGCAAACTATAGAGCAGATGTTTTAGACTATTTTATTCCAGACTGAGCCAGTATTTTTGTTTAGACACTTGCATTAAAAATGTTTACTCTACATAACTAAAGGAATCTTATTATTTATTTGTAGTAATTTATGCCACTCCTTCTCCAGAGCTGCTTACACATAAACTAAACAAGTCAGAATTTTGCATTCTGATCATATAGAAGTGCACTTGCAGCAGAGGAAATTTAAAAAAATAACACATTACAGTTGATATTACAGTGATATATTCTATGATAATATAACTTAGCTGGATGAGTTCAGATGCATAGTTCTACAGAACAACTCACATGGCCCTTGGGCTATTCTGCTCAGAACAGTAAATATGCTTGTTCCAGCCTTACCAACATTATTTTCCCTTTTTTCTGCATTACAATCATGCAGTTTTTTGCACTGTCCAAATCAAAATTTCCCCCTTTTTGAGACGTTTAAGTCAGGTGGAGGTCAAGCAAAACCTACAAGGCAGCCTATTTATTATCTTTATATAACTTAAGACATATAGGCACCAGGGCAAAAATGTTAGAGAGCAGCCAGAAAATTCATGAATCTGCTTAGCTGCTACTATGCCCTTCATAAACATAAACCTATCTATTGAACAGGGTAGTTCCCGCTTACAGGCTGAGATAAAGTCCAGGTGACAGATTTTACTGTCATAGTGCCATGCAATAATTCAAAAATGCTTATTTCTATGGACTATTTTTTTCACTGTTGGGAAGTCATACACCAAAAGGCAACCCCCCCCCCCCCCAAAATCCCCACTGGTTTCTAACTTGTAGCTCTGGAGTTAACCAACATGAAAGAACTGCTATTATAATGCTTAGAAGAAGAAGAATTAAGCAGTATCTAAACAGGATGCAATACCATATTGTGTACATTTTCCTCATTAGGTGAAGTCAGTCTCTGGAACCTGGAAAGAGGCACAGTAATATCCATCTTTACACCAGACAGCAAGATCTCTTGCATGACCATTTCTTCTGACCGAAGGGCAGCTCTTTTAGGCTTGAGCGATAGCCCTACTCTTGTCACTTTGAAAATGCTGAGCGTCAATGCAGCTGCAAGTTCAACAGGAAAAGATTTGTTTGGAGAAGAATCATCAAGCAGTGAAGAGGAACCCACAATTATTTAAAAGCCACATTCAAAACACAATGAAGCACTGACAAGTCAGAAATGAAAATTCAGCTATTGCATATATCGCTATTAAATAAAATGAATGCATAATATATCCACTGGCTTAAGAGAAAACCACAACATAATGCTTTGCAAGTGGACTCCTTCTCCCAACCAAATATTTAAATTTAGATTATAATAAAATGTTTGCTGGCTTCATGCATCAAGTTCCTAATGTTGTGGAAACAAGTAACAGAAACTATGTTATCATTACTATTTTTGTTAGGGTGAACAGAGGACATACTGTTTTAGTTCATAAATATTACGGAATAGCCAAGAAATTTCATAGCAAGCATAGAACTAAACATATGGTTGAAAAAAGGCTAAGGCCCCCATTCTATCAATTGTACCCTCACGGCTTGGAAGCCCCTGAATCTGCGGACTGCTATGTTCTCCCAGGCTGAATCAGTAGTGCAGGAGGAGGAGCAGTGATCTTTGCCTATCTGCCTTCTGTTCCTCAAGTTTTCACTAGCTGGCCTTTTCATTCAGGCTAGTGCTAGTGCTTCAGAGCAGGGGTTGAGGAAATGCAGGATAGATGATATCCTGGCCTTTTTTTACTTTTTCCCACACAACCCTGCCTTTTCCCCTCCTCAGGAGTTTTTCCAATGGCAGCCAGCAGAGTCTATCACTACACTGGTTGCAAGAAGTCAGGGAAGGGAAAGCTGGACCAAGTCCCTCCCAAGGTCAAGCATTGTCTCCAAACTGAGAGGGGGTGAATCTGACTTATGGTCCCTGGGTCACTTGCCTAGAGACCATAGGATTTTCTAAGACATATTAGGGATGCATTATATATGATTAAGCTGATTAAGTTGATTAGGGTTTGTTAAGGCTGTGCGAGAGTCTTCATTTATTACAACAGTTCAAATAAAGACTGAATTTTGGAATAGATATAATAATCTGGTTGTTTCAATGTAATTCCTAGTATCAAGAGTTTTTATGAAACTTACTGAATATTGCTGATTACTGGAGCTGATATGCAGCACTATCATTCTGCTAACAGCTGCATCAGCAAAACCAGGAGCGGGGATTCCTTCTTCCCTTCTACTGTCCACCGAGTATCTTTAAAAACCTCTCTGGAAGGCTAGTAAACCCTCTGGAGCAGATTTTAGGTTAGTGCAAGGGGGAGAAAATTTGACTTCCACTAACACACTGTAAGGAAAAGATTTGTATTGACAATAGGTAACATTTTTATTATGAATAGGTATTTATTATACTAATTAATCTTACACAATGCTGAAGTAAAATAGGTGTACATTACTTTTAATTATGTTAAAACAGAATTCTTACTGTTAACTGGTTAGGTTAACCTAATTTCAATCCACAGAAGTATCTGAGATTTATGATTTCAAACCAGGAACCCCCTTGCTCCCATCTCTGCTTGGCTGCAGTATGATTCGTCTGGCACAGTTCATTCATTGCATATCTATCAGCTGCAGCTCTCTCCCCCTTTGGTGCATCAGTAAGTTGACTTTACACAGAGTGAACACCTGTTTGTAAGAAGCATGGATAAAAGCAAATACTCTGTACTTGCTGCACAAGAAGTGATGTCAGTTCTCTCCAATGTCTAACATACAAAACTTCTGAAGATGCTACTAGCCAATTTTGTACCAGCTTAGTATTAAAAATGGAGATGCTGTATAAGAATTCATCCAAATTTTTATTCCACAAATGTCTTTGCTATACTACAAGATGTGCAGACAGCTTTTAAGATGTATGTGAAGCGTAGAATGAATTCAGTTACTTTAATTACATTTGTTGCTTAATTGTCCTCCCCCATACCCACCCTATCACTAAGAGACATGCTGCTAAATTTAGGGAGACTAGAAGCAAAGAATGCATCAGCATCCTTTCTCACCCATGTCTAGAACCTTCTTACAAGGAGTCTTGCAGTACATGTACTCCTGTCAACAACATTTATAGAACTTTAAGGTGTGTTTCAGAAAGTCAGGAAAAACTCTGGCTTTTATCAGAGCGTTAGTACTTTAAGCCACATTATAACTCTTCTCAGACAGAAAAGAAAGAATATGATAAAGGGTTGTATGTGACCTTACAACCATGTGGTAGTACTTTTCAGCATGACTCCATCCCAAATGCATGTCAAGGCACATTCTGGAATGGAATTTTGTGCCAAAGGAAGGCTGCAGTTTGAACAGAAAAAGTGACAGCCTCTCACACATGTACAAAAGCAGTTTATGTAGACACACTGTTCTGTAGATCTCAGCTGAAGAGGACATTATTGACAAAACTGTGGGCAATAAACATTCTCTTCAATTTTACAACCAAAATGGATTTTATTCATAAACCATAGCATGCAAAAGATTAGGCTCAAGTAATTTATACACTCTAGTGGCACATTTCTTATTTGCATGTACCTGGGCTTACAAAAGTTAAAACCAAGAGAGATTGTCAAATCACAGCAAAGTTATTTAAAAATCAAAATGGAACTTCATAGCAATGACACTTCTTTTAAAATGGGCAATATTTTACTAATATGGGGCTGAGGGTTATGTTTTCATTGGAAATAGAGGAGACATAGGAATTGCAGACACTTTTCAGGGCATTTCCAGTTTACCAGTTATGCAAACATTTTAATGCACAGTATTATCTGCTTGCAGAAGTACTGTACCTATTAACAGATCTGAAGTACACAAATAGTTTTACAATCACTGGAAGTTACAAGATACGGTATTGAAGCACAAAGCAGCCAGTAAAATTAAAACACTTCCCAAAACCCATCAATCAGCTGAAATTAGGATGTTGTATAATATAGGCTGTCCTTCTTTTTCATCAAAGAGAGTTGTGTAGTGATGGCAATTACAAGCTAGTTCAGGATTAAGTTTTCCTGCCCATTGCATGATTTTGTTCAAGAATGGGAAAGTATGTAGACATTCAAAATAAAGACATTTACCGCTGTATTAGGAACCTGCAATTACTTTCCTCTTAACAGATGAAGTATTTCTGGAAGAAGGCTATCACATTTTGTTTAGGACATTGTTCATAATGAGTCAGTCAACAAGAAAGTCATAACATAGTTTCAAGATGAGATGAAACAAGTGTCTTATGACTCTACATAGCACAAAAGTAATAATTAAGCTGATATTACTCATGTGTAACAGCAGCAGATCCCAGTTAAACTGGGTAATATCAAAGGTTCCAGAGATAATGCTTTTTACCCTTACAAAATGAAGCTATCCATCTGGTTCACTTTGTAATAAAAAGCATATATGTGGTACCCAGAACTTTTTCAAAGCTCTGTAAGAAGACACAACACTACTGAGATATTACTTTGAGACAGAAAGAATTTGATACTGGAATTTATTCTTGGCCTGTTTATCCCTCTATATTACTATTGCTTTGCATGCACATTAGAACATCTGTGAAATGCACATGAAACTTTCTAACCTGACAGAGTGGAAAAAATGTACTGTCTTGAAAAATCTATGGCATTACTTTAGACAGATAACTAAGACTACAGCTATTTATCACCACATTTGGCATAGAATACTCTAATAAAGATATTATGTCAGGTTCTGGAACACCTTCAGTTATCATCTCTCCCAAATACATGTCCTAATTTCTTATCTGTAAGGTTCTACTAAGAGTCACTACACTTGAGCAGAACTGTTCCCTTTTTTCTACATCTACATTTCTTCTATAAGAAGGCAGTTGTTTTTACTACTACTGCATTTGGCTCAACCCTAAAAACCTGCAAAGCAAGAAAGTGAATTAAAATACTAGTCCAGGCAAACTCTTACGACTGTCCACAAACTGACAGGTATTATAGTTCTTGCACAACCTTTTTTCCAACATGATTATATGTTCCTGTCATCATTCAGTGAGTCAGTAGCAAAATGGCACAATAGGGGTTAAGAAGTTAAGGGACAGAATTAGAGAAACAAGTAGGCTCATTCTAGAACTGCCATTACAATGCTGAATGAAACTTTTTGCATCAGTATTTCACCATTTAATATACTTTCTAAACTCACCACCACAAGAGTAACATAAAAATAACTTAGTGACGTAAGGGGAGATCACATGGAAGGCAAGGAGATTGGCTTTTCTCCTTTAAAGACTTTAAAATGTAGTTAGACTGTAGACCTCAGTTCAAAATGTTATCATTAAGACTTTGAAGACTAAAAACATTATTGAACTAACATTCTCAGCAGAATGGGCTATAATGGACTAAAGGTACAACTGCAATAGATGTTAACACACCTGTCTTAACATGATTATCACTCCAGGCTTTCCTCATCAGGTATCACCAAAATTCCACAATTAAAAAGAGCGAGGGATCCAGAAATCTTGAATTCCCCCTGTGCTATTCCCAATGTGACCCTGTTTGAAGAATTTGGTTATTTAGTGCAGAATATTCAAAAGCACAAAAAGTACTAACATCTATTAATACTCCATTAGTAATGTAGACCTTAAAAAGGATTGCATAGTTTTATGCATTCTAAAATACTAGTCTGCTTATTAATCAGTTTTTAATAAAAACCATAGTTTTCAATGCATTTGCAGCATTGACTACCTTGATCTTTTATCTTTTTTGGATTTGTCTGTACATTTATCCATAGTCTTCTCATTGTCTCCTCTGCACTTGGGGCAATACCATTTCCCCTTTGGTTTGTAAGTGAGTCCAACACATGAAAAGTGAAACCACTCAATGGGACACAGTTCATTGTCACAGCCTATCATTTCTCCATAAGATACTTGGTCACATAGACAGTAAGTTGGCTCATTAGGGTCTACCGCAAAGTCTACCGGAGAAGCTTCCCTTTCTTGTTTAGTTTTAGAACGTTTCTTTTTCTTGGCAGATTTAGATCTCTTTTCTTTAGGTGGCTGATCATCATACTCATCAATTCCATTTGCTATATGGCATATGTCGCGGCTTTCACTGGTACGTTGGCGCCGGGGCCTTCTTGAGGACCGTTCTGGCTGACAAGGATCCACTTTTGACTTTTCAATGGGTTTTTCAGTATCTGACAGATCTTGGAAACACTGAGAATGAGACTCTATTTGTCGGGCTCTGTTCTCCACTAACTCAAGCATCTGAGTGACTATTTGGATTTTCTCATCTCCAAGCTCTTGACTGTTGATCAGGGCTCGCTGAAGATGTTGCTGCAAACGCTTTTTCTGAGCAGGATCATCTTCATTTCTGTATTTCTCATATACTTCATCAATTTCTTTTAATGCTTCTGTGAAAAAAAGTGAGCACAAAAGTATTACCAATCAGAACTCATGCTGCTTTCAAATTGACAGATATTTGTTATTAATACACATCTAAGTAACAGCAACAATTTAGGACCAAACATTATTGCCTTTCAAAAGTCCCATGTGAAGTACAATGCATCATCAGCACCCAAAACTAAAAGAACAAACCATTCTAGAAAGTAGTAAATTTCACCTCTAGTGCTATAAAGAGGACACACAGGGCAGTGTTTAATATCCCCACCAAGTCCTTTCCCACTCATTGATTCACTTCTTGAAGAGGTAGGCCCAAACAGTTCCAGAGTAACAATGTGTATTTTAAAAGGAGATAGATAAGTGAAACCCCCATATGTGAGCTTTGCTGGTTAGCCTTTGTTCAGAAATGAGTATTTCCACTCATTATGTATTGGCTCAGCAGTGCTTAAATGCTATTGTGCAAATGTTGAGGGCCGCTTATGCAAGACTGAAAAGAACTGCTTGAAAACACCCTGTTGGATTCTGCCCAGACTAGTGGGCTATAATGTAGTACAAGTTTTTGGAAGACGAAATCATACAGAGCAAAGTCAATGGCAAGGTAGTTCTGGCCAGCAAACCTACTGGTGCTCTGAAAAGTGGAACAGTCACACTGCACTGCACAAGAAGAAAGAAAACTCACCAGTAGCAATCAATGCATTGACAATGTTCAGACAACAGCACATTCCATGCCCAAGGGCTGAGTAAAGGTTGAGTTTAGGTTGTTGTTGAACCATGGGTTATTGAAATGTAGATTGTGTTGTCTGAACCCAGACAAGAAAACAAACCATAGTGAACAAGCCACAGCTTACAACCCAACAACAAGCCATGGGTTGTTCATCGTTAATAAGCCATGACTTGCTAGTAAGGCTGGGTTCAGGCAACATAACCACATTTCAACCACCTATGGTTCAACTTCAACCCTTGAGTGGGGGTTATCACTATCTGAACCCAGACAGTGTGAAGTTGTACCCAACTATTTGAAATAAAGAGTGTTTAAGGTTGCAGTCCTAGGACCATTTCCTTGTAAATCCCATTGAACTCACTGATTTCCTTCAATATGGATTGGGCTGAAAGTGAATGCCTAGCTTCCAAAGTAATTCTGAATTCTAAGAAGGGTTAAAGCCTTCCTCTCCCAAAAATGTTTTTCAGTGATGCCCATACTTGTTTTGGTGCTGCACTTCCCACTGGGAAAAGAGACACAAGTTCAATTTTAAAAAGTTAAATTGTGCAGGGTAAAGGAAAAAAACCCAAGCTGCTTGTTTTTCCTGTTCTTTTCTCTCCCCATCTCCCTTATTATACCTGAAATGACAAGGAAGAATGTGCTTTAAAAATACATATTGAACACTGAAAAGTACTGAGTATGTACATTTACAAAGTTATTAAGTTATTATTGGGGGAAAAGATCTATTCCAGCATCCTCTCTTCCTTTCAGAATATAAGCCACATCAACGTTATACATTTGCATCCTACAATAACCCAGAGGTGTTACAGTATTCACAGTCACTAATGTGAACCAAAACACAAGAGAACAGGCAAAATCCATCCCCCTCCCTGCCCCAACATCATTGCAAGTTCAGGAGAGCAATAACTAGTGAGTGGTAAAATGGTCTTGAATTATGCACTCTTAAGCAAGGTACCCCATCTGTAAGTAAGAAAAGAGACCTACGAATAACAACCTTCTGATAGAAGAAAATCTTATATTCTGCCCTTTCAGTGGAACTGACAGAGGAGCACACAGATGTTTGGTGACCACTGCACTTACATTTGGAGCAGGGCCAACTAATATGTTAAGAAGAGATCTACTGTACAGTAATTAAACAAAAAGTACAAAAGAACCATATAGGTAAAAAAGTATACAAAGTACAAAGAACCATATAGGTTCTTTGGTAGCCGGTGAGCCGATGCGACCAGACCCCAGGGAGGCAGCTCACACATTAAACAAGCGTTATGACACCCCCGCTCCCCTTGATGTACACTGCCTTAAAACCGACAAGGTCCGTCCTCCCCGCTCGCCTCAGCTCATTTAGCCTTATCAAAAATGTGAGTCTATGTGCGGTCATAAGAGGGCGTGGAGCAGACAACCAAAACAGCCACCCCACCACGCCAAGGGCCCAAACGCCGAGAGAAATTCTCCGACCCGACCCGGCCGCCCTTCCCAGTTCACGCCGAACCCCAAGCCGGGTGTCACGGATCGGGGTGAGGGCAAGAGGAGGGTGGCCATTTTCTTTCACCCCTCCAAGTTTCTGGCGGGGGGAGGAGTGCGCCGCTCCTCCCCTTTCGAAGGAAGGGCGGCGAGCCCGTGTGTGCGGGGACGCGGCATCACCTGCACCGCCTCCCCCTTCGCACGCACACTGCCCACCTCTCACTCACCTCGGCAGCGCGTGTCCATCTCCCGCAGGAGCGAGGCCAGCCTCTGCATGTCCAGCGGCAACGACTCGACGCACTCCAGGTAGTCCTGCACGTAGCGCGCCAGAAGCCTCTCCGACACCCCGCCACATGGGAAGCCGGCGACAGCCCCGGCCCCGCCAGCTGCCGCGGCGGCAGAACCGGCAGCTGCCGCCACCGCCGCCGCCGCCACCCCAGACCCCGCCCCCCCAGGCTGTTGCCCCGGCGACCCCAACATCATTACGCGACGTGACACCCCCTCCCTCCTTCCTGCTTGCCTGCCTCTGCGCTCCGCAGACCCGGATCTCGCAGGTGAATGAGCGGGGCGAAGAAATGAGGAGCCCCCAAGGCTGCTGCTTTCATCGGCAGAGGCGGCCGACGGAGGGGGGGGAGAAAAGCTCTCCTCCCTCACTTGGAACTCCCCGCCTCTTTTTCCCTTCCGCGCACCCCTTTTTTCCAATCGCAGTGCGCATGCGCGAGGCCTTGTCCTTATAAGGTGCGGCTGGTTCGCATTCTCCCGCCTTCCTCATACGGCTGCTGCCATTGGTTCTGACGGATAAGACGTATAAAGACAAACGGAGAGGAGGATGAGAGGCGGAGTTTCACTTAAAGAGCCATAAGTGTAGGCAGATTTTCTTTCCCCTCCTTGCCAATGTCTGAGCCCAATGGAAGCATCAATTTCTCTTTCGCCCCGCCTTGCAGCCAATCCTCTGCCAGGAGGGACGGAAATGAAGCTGTAGAAACCAACTCGCTCCTTACAACTGTCCTCTCACTTCCCACCTTTTCGCTTCTATCCAAATCTGCTGGCAGTAGCCCGTGAAACGAAGACTCGCGAAGTAGAAAACTTGCAAACAAGCGGAGAACGAGAAAAGTGCACGTGGGGTTTGCGGAAAGGCATTTTCTTCCTCAAGAGTGTTTGTGACTAGAGAAATACTCCAAACGTGCCTAATTTCTTTAACTGCGTTTATATTTCACCCTTCCTCCAAGAGTTTTCAGGGCTCTTTCTGCACCTTTTCCTTTTCTCTTACAAGAACCCTGCGAGGCAGGTTGTGCTGCGAGTTAGTAACGCCAAGGCCACAAGTGACAGAAGAAGGATTTGAACTTTCTACCAGCAATTAAATGGGTAAATTTTAATTCCAAGCAAGACTCGGGTTGCAGTCCCCGATGAATTCGTTGAACATGCTTTCGAGTAACACTCCGGGATTTATCCTTGACATACCGCTTGGATATGTTTTAGTCAGTACAGAAATAATACTGCTTATCTGCTTGGATCCACAGAAGGAAGCAGGAACTGATACAGTAAGGCTTAGTTGCTTGGGAGTAAAACCTATTGAATTAAGTGGAACTTATGAATAAATGCTCATGGGCTTGCGCTGTTTTATTTAAGGCTTTATAACTGATTCGATTCGTCACAGCTCTCAGAACGATGTACATGTTATGCAATATTGCACTATTCATTGCCTTTTTAATACTGGAGGGTTTTTTTTTTACTATTAATGCTTTTTGCTATTAATCCTAAACCAGCTATTTGCAAAAGAATCCAGCTTCTTTCGCCTCGCACAATCATTTAACAGTACAGAGGATGCATTATAAGAAGGCTACATTAATGGTTCGCGATTCGGCATTAGGTGGGAAAGCTTCCGTTCTCGTATCGTTAAGCAAGTGGCTGCCTTCAGACCTTCCAGCGACCGCAGTCAAGCCCTTGCGGTAAGCAGGGACGTACCATCCCGCAGGAATTTCCAAAAAGGAGCAGGCATCCCGAGAATGAGCCCCGTTCTGTTGGTGCGGCGGCTTCTTTAAGAAGCTGTTGCGCACTACCTGCGTAACTATGGAGGTGACGAGAAGCCCCTCCCGCGCTCACCCGCTCGGCCCTGGGGGCTTCTTAGCGGAGAAAGCGTGAGCGTGCGAGACGGGTTGCTGCGCACTGGAAAGCGCGCGGCACTCTCTGCCCGAGGTCCGGGGACTTTCCCCTAGGCGGGCGCCAGGCCCAAGAGGAACTAGCGTCCTCCGCTCGTAGCCTAGAGAGCAGGTCTTCAGGACGCCTGGTACAATTTCGCGCTCGCGGCTGCCTTATAAACCCTGCTAGTGCAGTAATTTTCCTCGATACAGTGAGCAAGATTAGGCACGAGCCTTTCCCATTCTGTTTGAGCAACAGTACTGAGGCAGCAATTTCTTTCCGAGCACTGCTATTGCTTTTTCTGTGGAGTATTCTTTATAAGAGATATTTAGCGTCACTCTTCGTGCACTAAACTTTACACACACGTTATGCAAAGGACCTGTATTATCCCGCCCCTTCGTGACGACAAACGGGAAGTAAAAGGCGTTCCAACTGGGCGGTGGCGATGCAATTATTTGACGTGCTGAGGGTCAAAGAAATCCTTATGTGATATTTCCTGAAGTTTGGGAGAATTCGGAGGGCCGCATAGAAACTTGTTGATAGCAAGTGGTAGGGAGTTAATTGGAGGTGTAGAAATGCAATAAATAATAAGCTACCCACTCCAGCCATTTTGACTACAACTCCCAGAAAACCCTGCCCAACATGGCCAATAGCTTGCAACGGTGGGAATTGGAAGTGTAAAAAACTAGGAAAAATGGGGCTCGCAGTGGGAACGTTGCCATTTATTGTAGGATTGACAGCTGTTAATTTGTGCTGAGTAATTAGCACGCCGTTCCCCAGCTAGACCCTCTAGCCCTCCAATTTTAGTGGATTGCCCAAGACTTGGATCTTGGAAATTCCAATGTAAGAGTGCAGAACCTCAGGCCGGTGGGTCATAATCTGGCCCTCCTGCAGCGCCTTGAATACCCTTTCTCCCCAGGCAGTGGCTGGTAGTTTCCTGCTTTTTATGCTGTTCTTGCTCACACCTTCTAGGTCTGTTGCTGAATTGTTGCAAACTGCCTCAAGAGCTTCAGCTGCATTTTTTGCCCCCACTTCTTGTGTTTCTCAGAAATTGAATGTAGCTTTCAATATGAAAGAGGTTCCCACCCCAGCCACTGGACCCATCTGCTCATACTCTGGTTAATATTCTCTGTATGTAGTAACTAATATTGATTACCTATATATTCCTCAATATTGTGTCCTTCTGCTTTTTATTTAGGCAAAATCAGGATGTTCAAAGAATAAAATCTGTATAAATCAGGTAATAAAAATAGAAACATACAGCAATATGGGAGTCTCTCTCTTTTCTTGAGTACTGTTTATGGGGGCAGACTTTAACATGGGTATGCTGAGTACCTTATAACAAAATTGTTGCAGAGTTGTCTACTCCGTAGTTCCATTTACCTATTGTATTTATATTGTGCCTTTTCCCAGTAGTGAATGGTGCCTATTCCCAACACCTAATACACTATGGACAGACTTTTAGACAACATACAGAGAGCTTTATTCTTGCATTGCATTTATTGATATTCTTGCATTTTCCATCTTGCCTTTCGATCTCCTGTGAGGAACTCAAGATTATTTATATAACTCAATTTTATCCACCTTGTGAAATAGGTTAGGCTGAAGGTGACTGACTGACTCAGAGCCACCCACCCTTCATGGTGATTGGAGACAAGGACTGGGATCACACACATCTCCAATCCAACACTCTTAACCATCACGCTGGCTCTTTAAGATGTGCAGTGAAAGTTTTACTCCCACATATATACATCTAATAACGTTGTTGATTACTGTTTACAGTGAAAAAAGCCTACTTCTGAGTGTAGCAAGGATAAATTGCCAATGCCATTGCTGCTTCATTCAAAAAGCATGCAACCGAATGCAGAGATGGTTGTGCTTCATTCACTTTTAAACACATTATGCCCCACCCTCTTCAAGCAGATGTTTCACTATGTAAAATGGAAAACCCAACCCAAACCAGAAGGCAAGGAGTGCAGTTACTCTACCATTTTCCAGCTCTATAGGCAGAACTGTACAAGCAGCTATATATGTTGGTGCCACAGTATTTCTCATCAGAGGTAGCTGGGGGGAGGGGGGCAGAGTGGAAACTGAGCCTCAACATCAGAGTTCTGAATGCACATGAACTGTGGGACAAATTAGAAAGAGCAAGTCAATTCATGAAGCACACTTTAGTACAAATAATTATGATCAAGTTTCTCTATTCCAGATTTTGCACTGCAAGATCTACTTTTTTGCATTAACAAAATCTGAACTGTTTTTCAATGGTTCTGAAAGAAGTCTGACACATTTACATCTGATCTGGAACCAAACAATTGAAAATGTCTTTATTTCAATTAGTTTTTTTTACATGAACAGCCATTTTCCTTTAAAAAATGCTACCACATCATTCCTTATCTACCATTTCTACACAAGATACCAATAAATGCATTTGAACAGAATGTAATGATCTGAATACTGCTTTGCATCATTCTCTCAAGTTCAGAGAAGGGACATTTCTTGTCTGCTTCTCTGCCAAATATCTGCTAAGAATCAAGAGCCTTACTTAACAATGAGGGATGGGGTACAGGTAGGCTGCTGCAGGAGGGAAGAATTAACCAAAATCAGGTTTGTGACCTAAACCAAGTTAACCAAGGTTTTCCTTCCCTTCTTCCTTTGTCTCCTTAAACATTTCTCAGGAAGCCTTCCAACCAAGGTTTTGGTTAGGGCATATGCAGAGATGTAATGCCACAGAAAATTTTTGCGGGGGAAAGGTTTTTTTCCCCCCCCCGCTTTCCACAGAAAAAGTTTCTTTGCCCAAGCTTTCTCATTCCTGAGTGAAGTGGCTGCAAGGGCAGGATAGGACAGGAAATTTCATACTGTGAACTTTTAAAAAGTTACTTTCTATAGGAATCAAACCATGTATTTACTACACATCAGGCAAACTGCATTATTTTAGCAATTGTTAAAATTTGCTACTTGTGTTTGAGTTGCTAGATTGAAGCATGGAATCCTATTTAGATCTCCTACTTTGGCCCTAATCTTCAAATCAGTGCAGCTAGCTGCTGCTTGGGATACTTATTGCATGCAAAAACTACAATCAAAATTGTGCAGTATGGGAAAAATAACAATAGAAGACTTTTTCCATTAACTATCAATATACATTTGGAAATAAGTCAGTCTATCAACACAAAGCCATAAAAATGAGGGATTAAAATAGCATTTGATCTAGACTTGTTACACTTGAAGTACACAATTGAAATCAATGGTACCTAAGGGAGTTATCGCCAACTTAAGGACCACTGATTTCAATGGGTCTACTCAAAGTACAACTAAGTCTGATTCCAACCCACAGATAATGCTTTCCCTACCAAAAATAAATTTTCAGAATAACTCAAGTTTTGACATACACACAAAAACTTATGCAGTAGCCTTCCCCTGTACAAGCATGAAAAATCATTGGGGAAAGGAAGAAAAAACATGTCCTGTTATGCACATGAAGGATATCAGGCATCTATGAATTGCAACCTTTATCAATAAAAGCAATCTGTTTCCCACGGGCTGCTGTATAACCAAGGTTTTACTTCTATTTTTGAAACATGTTGAAAGGCAATTATATATGGTCAGCTTTAATCACCATAATACCAGCTGCAACATACATCAGTTACCTCCTGTGAATTGTGGAATGATCCACTGATGCAGTAGGGATTCCACAGTACCTATACAAAACATTTTTACCATGGAGGTAAAGGACCACCTGTGCATTTGTTTTATTCATATTCTGCCTTTCTGCCTGCAGACAGAGGCACTCAAGGCAGCGACATGTAGAACTATATTCAGGCAATGCAGCACTGCAGAGCTCTGGATCATGCTCAGCATGTCAGTGCAACAGAACCTAGTTAGCGCGTGTGTGCACTGACATCTCAAAGTCAGAGTGCAATGTAAAAATTTGAATAAAATTAGCACTTCATATGGATTGCAGAAGTTGCTAATTAATACCACAGGGTTTAAGACTAAGAGTAACTATCAAAGATACAAAAATGGACTGTTAAAAGTGCTCAAAGAAAACAGTATTACATAAAATCTAATAATTTTCCCTAAATTATTGCAGACATAAAATGTGCTTTAAATAGAAAGCTTTATTTATTTATTTGAAAAAGTGAAAAATGTGGTGTCTCACAAAAAAAGAAGATAAGTCTTCTTGGAAGCATTTTTAGTGATCTAGGTAATTTGGTGGGTTGTTCTTTTTTACTGATAATGTGCAAGTATGATAATAAAATAGGACCTGCATATCATTTCTGAATTAAGATTTAAAATATTACTACTTCATTAAAATAATCAAAATCAACTATTTTCTTATTTAACAGGCATATGAACATTATGAGCCACACACAAAGCAAATGATTAAATGTTTGACTGAATTTTAAAGACAACTTTATCTCATCAAGGTACAATGGTTCTTGTCTATATATTCATTTGCAGCTAAAAAAGGATATGGGTTCACATGAGAGCATTACTGCTACCAAATTGTAGGAATTACAAAATTAGACTGTACTGAACAGCAAACTGTACCTTAATTTTGTTAAAAAATATAAGACTTAGGTAGAGTATATAGCAAATAAAAAAGCACACTAATGTGCTATATATATATGTTAAGGCATACCTCTGCACACTTTACATCTCTAAGAAATTATTTACATTTGCTACTGAGTGAAAAGAACAAGAATGGTATTTGTTCTGCAAAACAGAAAACTGAGAAATACAAAATATCTGGAAGTCTAATTTAGTGTACAAAAGTAATCCAGTAATTTGTGTTAAAACATTATTTGCTAGTAAAAGCAGTGACTGCTTCATTGATTTGCAAAATTTCTTGAGGATTTCTTAATGCAGGAGGTAAATTTAACGGTTTTGACTCTTCATCAAGAAGCACCAAATCTTCAATTTCTCTTCCTTTGTACTTCCTTTTACATAATTTCACAATAACCTTCTTCTTGAGAAATAGTTTCAGTGCCTCCCTTGAAGCAACTGCTTTGGCATTTTCTTTACTTTTTCCACAACCAGTACCCAAATATACAGATCTGCATCTCAGTTCACAAACTACACTTTCCTGAGAGCTTTTATTCTGAGGTAAATCCGCAAGCTCTTTCAGTGGTACAAATTCAACATCTAATGTTGCTTTCACAGACTGAACAGATGAGTTTAAGAGTTCTACGTGATTGACATTGGGACTAAACCCTCCAACAGCAACCAATTTCCAAGCAACAGCTTTGTATAGTCTATTGAAAAAAGGTTGCCTCTCTTTTGCATCTTCACTGGTTAATAGTTTGCATGGCACTTTGACAGGAACCACACTTGTGTGGGAACTGCTTTTTGAAGCTAACATCGCAGAACCTTCCAAGCTGACTTTCTTTTCAGAAGGTAACACCTTTTCGGATTCGGAAGATTTAGTTAAACAGTAATTCATCTTTGATTCAGGGCCTGGCAAAGACGTCAAAGCTGATTTATGCCTACTTGTTGTAGAATCATAATTAGCAACTCTGGGTTCTATTCTTAGTCCAATGGAAGATGCTGCAGACGCTGCCTTCTGGGCCCCGGCCGAAGACGCTGCCTTCTGGGCCCCGGCCGAAGACGCTGCCTTCTGGGCCCCGGCCGAAGACGCTGCCTTCACTGGATTTTTGGATGCCTCTTTTCCTGGGTTCTTTACAGATTCAGTATGTGTTTCCATGAGCACGTCTGCCTTTGTAGACTTCGCATCACTGCCACTAACTTTTGGAGCTTTGTCTGTGCTAACCGCTCGTTTCTTGCAAGGCTCTCCTGGCCCTTCTAGAAAGTATAAACAAATTACGTCTGTAATTCTGAGTAAATTTAACTGACCTTAATCAAACAGCACAGCATAAAAAAATGAAATGAAATAAAATATGCAGAATCAAGGAACCTCAAAGTCTTATCCAGTTCACATAATTAAGGAGTTGGACTTCTCACTAATTTTACAAATATATCAGGCGGGTCCCTTTGTATTAAACATGTGGATTTAAAGTAGATATTGCATCCTTGTTGTTTATGTATTGGATCAAAAGTAGTGCTTTTACTTACAGCTGTTACAAAAACTGATAACAAGAGTAAATGGAATAAAATATGAAGGTCTCATGACAATTAGCATTCTCTACGACAATTCAAAAATTCACCTCGCTCATACTTGAGCAATTTTAAGATCAAAGCAAAACAAAGTTACCTAGCTAATAACATCTGAAGTACTAACAATTTAAAGAATGAAACCAACTGAAGGCTAACATGTATATTTGTTTTACTATAACCTATGTGTATTTGCACAGCTATTATCTGCTAACCATTGCTACTGGATATGCCTCGTTTCACCTTGGCAACCAGTTCATCTCTGAGAGTGTGGGTTGGAGCATTGGTCACTGTGATGCCTGCAGCCATGTCCTTCACCTTTTCCATCACTTGTGGAGAATACCTGAAAAGGAAAGAAAAGCAGCAATTAACACTTTAAGGAATAGTGTATTCCATCATTGTTACATGTTCAAGTCCCACAATTATATAGTTTGGGTTTCACATATTGTGAAGAACAGCTATCACATCAGATCTGAAGCATTACTGTAATTAGGACTCTGACAAGAGAAAAACAGAATAATTCTCTCTGCAACACAATGTTTCCAGTCATGTAATTGCATAGATGCATAAATTTTGTTGAATTTGAAGTATTTTCTAGCCCCAAATATCTGTCATGAAATGCAGATGCAATGCTTTAAAGTGATGATATAAAAACAATCCAGGAGGACACCTAGTCAGTACACTGTATATATTGTATAGAATCCAGATTAGTTTATTTAAAGCATTTTCATACAACTGTTCATGCTGCTTAGAACCCCAGATTATGGAACAATTAATTAAACCACAGTGCAAAGTACAACCATTTTTACTACCAAAAAACATATCCACTGAAGTGCCTGAATGAACTGAAATGTTTTAATTTCACTGATGTCAGAAAGACTATAATGTGGGCACCTGATGAACTTCTAAAAAAAAACCCCAACAAAAACAAAAAAACCCAGAAAATATGTCTGGACAGTTCAGCCTGCAAAGTCTTGGAAGCACCTTCGTGCTGCCCTTCAAAAGATATCAGGGCAGATAACCGAAAAGATAACCTAACCCTAATTCTTTATTCTTTCAGGTGCCAGTTAAAAATTTATCTTTTCATAATTATTTTGGTAGGTAAGCTGTTTTGGTTTAATGGTTTATGTTGCTGCTGCTCCCATATTCTGATTTTAATGCAAGATAAGCTTTTTAGTATGTATAACTTTTATCTGTTATTAGGCCATTTTAACATTTATCAATTGCTTAGTTTTATGCTTTTTCCTTTTTTAGTTGTTAACTTATTGATTGATTTTATATTATGAATATTATAAATGAATTGAATTGTTTTGTTGTTAAATTGTTGCTTAGTATGTTGTGAGCTGCCAAGAGAGCCTTTGGCTAATGGAGCAACATACAAGTCAAATAAATATTAAATATCAACTTTACTGAGTTAGAAAAAACTTTATCACATGAGTTTCTATACTCAAATAAGAACATGTTTAACATAATAGTGGAAATCACAGAAAACAGCAACTGTTGCTACAAGAGGCAGGTACCTTGCTGAAGCTAAGCAGGTCTGGGGCTGGTCAGCATCTGGAGAGATTATCTAGGAATCTATTTAACACACCATGATAGAAAAAAGGCATGGCAGAAATAACTATTTTTGCCATTTAAAAACCTGCATCTTCCTTATTTTCTAATCAAGAAAAGCATCAGTGCAATGTTCCATAAGACTACCTGTTAATTCATTTGTAAGAACAAATCATATAGGTAAGCGTAAGTCAGCTGAAATTTGGCTCTAGAAACTGATGCTTGGGAGACAGAGTGTTGCTCAGTCCCATGTTTTCTCCAGTATGAGTTCTTCAGAGAACAACATCTCCCATGCTATTCAACATCTACATGAAACTGCTAAGTGGGTTCATCTGGAGTTTTTGAGAGTGTTGTCTCTATTTCTCCTTTTCATCTTCAGCAGGTGAGGCTCTGGATGTGCTAAACTGCTGCCTAATTGCAACATTGGACTGAATGAGGTTTAACAAATTGAAATTTACTTCAGACAAGACTTAGATGCTGTTGGGGGAAGCTTCCCCTGAATGGAGGGTGCTCAACCTGTTCTGGATGGTGTTACACTCTTCCTGGAACAGGTTTGGAGCTTGGGAGTACTCCTTGATCCATCTTTATCACTTAAGACTCAGGAGGCCTCAGTGGTACACAGTGCCTTCTACCAGCTTTTACTAGGGGCCCAGCTAATCTGGACAGTTGGAACTTCAGCTTTACTCTAGTAATCTCTAAAATAAATTACTGTAAAAAACTCTACATGGGGTTGCAACAGTTGGGAAACTTACAGCTTTTGCAAATGTGCCAGCCAGACTAATAACTGGGATCAGATGGTCTGATTATATAACTCCAGTTCTGGGCCACTTGCAATGGCTGCGTATGTGCTTCTAAAACCAATTCAAGGTGCTAGCCTTAAGCTGTAAAGACCTTCCAACTTTGCACCACAATACCTGATAGAACACCTCTTCCAACCACATTGTACCTAGTCACTACACTCAACATCTGGAGGCCTTTCTCCAAATGTCACATCCCAGTGAGACTTGGCAAGTGGCAACAAGTAGGAGAGTCCTCTCTTTAGCAGCCTCCAAATTTTAGAATGATCTCTCTGCTGAGGCTCCCCATCAATTTTACTATTTTTTAAAGCAACAGCTTAAGATTGCACTCTTTGCCAAGGCATTTACCACCTACAAATGGCACATAGAGGTGGCAAAGGGGGCATAAAGGCAGTTATTTTTCTGCAAAACTTCGTGTTTCTTGTTGCTTTGTTCCAAATTTATTTTATTACTTTTGCTCACTGCCCAGAAAACTTCGACTGTTAAGCAGTACAATACATAAATAATAAATAACAAAAATATTTGCACCAGCTCGGAAACCCAGCCACAGATTTCCATCAACAATCAGACTGTACCTGGCTTTCCTTTAACGCTTTCTTCATTTCTACTAAAGCGTTTTAAGGAACAAGCAATTCCCTTTGAAAAACTGCCTACCTTTACGTAAGCAAGCATTTAAAATCGGTATTTCTTCAACAGATCAAAGTCAGCGACTCACCGGCATCCCAGGAAGACGTGGTTGGCCCACACCATAGAGAAAGAGACGAGGCGCCGCAATTCCGCGCTGTCGTCGTCGTCCTTCCCGCCCAGAGACAAGGACAGCGCCTCCCCGTTGCGAATCAAGAACTCACGGCGATAATGCCAGTGCTGCTCGGGCTCACACTTCCCGCGCAGCTTCTCCACCCAGTCAAACCCGGCATCGCCCGCTTCCCCCATCTTCTCATTCCCCGGGCTGGATACAGAGCCGGGCCCCGCTGTGGCGGCCTCGCCGTCGGCCATGGGCCGCCAGGAACCTGTGCTCGGCGGGCAGCTGCTCGCCGCGGCTCACCCTCCGCTGTTCACCCCCGGCCTAGAAACAGGAACTGTTCGTCGCCTGGCCTAAGAGACAGAGGGAAGCACAGGCCCGTTTCCCGCCTGAACCGGCGCTGTTATTGCGGTTGCTGTAGCTGCCGCACAGAACTCCCCACCCCGGAGATGATCATATCAGAAGTGGCCAATCCCTCGCGGCCAATATCCGGCTACCCATTATGACGCCATTTCCGCCGCAGCCCCCCTTTCCTGGATGCTCAAGCGAAACGCTTCCATCCCACAATTCATTGCTCGCTATCGGGGAAGAATGCCATGGCAACCGTCAACTTTCGCAACCGTCAGCTTGGCTTTGTAGGCGAGGCGGGAGCACATCGCTGAGTAGGAAAGTTCTCGCTTTTTTCACGTAAATTTCCAACCACGCGCTTAAACATCTGGAAGAGCATTTCATATCTCTTTGTTCTCACTTTGAATCGGGTACCGGAAGTTCCCCATTTTAACTCTTGTCCAGCCGTTGGATCCCCATTCCCTTTCTTCCTCATCTCGGAACGTCTGGCGGCAGATTTGAATGGATAATTCTCCTAAAAAAATGTTCCACGTTGGTGGCTGTTTTGAGCAATCGCCACTGGGGAGCCAAGTTGTAGAAAAGGATACATCAGCTTTCTCCTTAAGGTTGCCGCTCTGTGGGACTGTCTTTGGCACAGACATGTATAAAATTGTACTATAACAGTCCGGGCTATTAAGTACTAAAGAACTGGCATTGTAAAACACAGTTGAATAAAAGCAGCATAATTTTCACCAAGGGAGAGAAATGTTTGTGTTGATTACACCACTCCCTCCACCGTTACCGCAGTACAGATAGCGTCAATCTTGGTGCTGCAGGATAGAGCACATTCATTTATTCTCTCGTGCGTGTGTGTGTGTGTGTGTGTGTGTGTGTGTGTGTGTGTGTTTATATATGCTGCCTATAACTGCCAAAGGCCTTCCTGGGCGCCAGAGGCCTTCCTAGTCATGAGTGATGTCACTTATAAGTCTCTTGGAAATAGACTTTTCACATATTTGCATTGTGGGTACCAGCCCTGCCATCAGAAAGCTCTTCATAGTCATAATCTTGAGGGATATCCCTCAATTTGAATGTGAAGATGATAATACTGATTCACCTTTGAAGAGTGTAAGTGGTAAATAAATGTTATTCTTTAAAGATTCAGATACATCTGTTTTATAAATTCTGGGTGGTGGCTTGTGCCATACCAATGGTTCGTGTTGGTTTATATCACCCTGTGGAGCACGTTTGCCTCCAGTTATTGATGCCCAAGCCACTCCTGTCTGCTCCCCTTCAAAATACAAGCAAACAAGAATTAATTTCAAAGCCAGTTTTCAATGCAATACAACAGCCTGGTGTGTCTTTGCAAGACCCAAATATTTGCTTTGGATTGTAGCCACAGACCTCCCATTGGTGCTGAAAAACAAAAAAATAGTTCAGCTATTTTGGCTAGTTTATAATTTTCTTGGCCTGGGCAACATCACAACAGAGGAGTCATAGGTTTCCAGAATCTGCGGAGATTCTCCTGGAAGGTGGCTGTTCCCATAATGCATTTATTCAGGCTGAGATATTCCCTTATACATTAACTATGATAACTATAAATTAACCCAAAGTGGCTTACATAGTTCCATGTTATCTATGCAATAACACCACTGTGAAATATGTTAGGCTGAAGGTAAGTCAGGGAATCATCGGGATGGTGGCTGGTAATGAGCAGGGTTTCCCCGGGTTCTGTCCTGGGACTGATCCTTTTCAATTTTTTCAATGACCTGGAAGAGGGGGTGATCAGTCTGCTGATCAAATTTGCAAACAATACTAAAATAGGGGGGGTTGTCACAACTGAGGAGCAGGTACTCTGGATCCAGAAGGATCTGGACAGACTAAGGAAGTGGGCAGGGGACAACAGGATGGCGTTCAATGTGGATAAGTGCAAATTCTTGCACTTGGGGCATAGGAATGGATATCATAAGTACAGGTTAGGGGACAAGTGGCGGGAGAGCAGCACTTGTGAAAGGGATCTCTGAGTACTGGTTGACTGCAGGCTAAACATGCGTCAGCAGTGTGATGCGGTGGTCAGGAGGGCAAACGCCACCTTTGGTTGCATAGCCAAAATCATGGCTTCTAGATCAAGAGAGGTATTACTGCTGCTCTATAGAACTCTGGTGTGCTCACAACTGGAGTATTGTGTGCAGCTCTGGGCTTCATATTACAGGAAGGTTATAGCCTGGTTGGAATTGGTGCAGCGTAGGGCTACAAGGATGGTGACCAGATTGCAGGGAAAGCCATATGAGGTGAACTGATATGAGGTGAACTGATATGAGGTGAACTGACCCAGCTGAGGGAACTGGGTCTTTCCAACCTGGAGGAGAAGAAACTCTGATGGGATCTGTTGGTGACATATAGGTATATGAAGGTACCACATGGAAGTGAGTAGAGACCTGTTTTCCCCTGTGGAGTTGGGCAGGACATGTTCCAATGGAGCAAAGCTCAGGGAACCAAGGTTCAATTTGGATGCTCTTTCTGGCATAAAAATACTTAGAATAAATACGCATACAGAAGAATAGGCAAAAACAAAAAAGAGTCTTGTGATACACATTCTGATGCTTCTGATATGATCCTTTCTGTGAGGCAAATTTCATGGGAGGTGAATATTTATTGCATTTGTATACTGCCCCAATAGTCCACAGGCTCTCTGGCTGGATTACAATAATTAACATCCCATATACAAACAATAAAATATCCAAATAAAATATAACACAATAAAAACAGCACTACAATTACTAAGCAGCAATAATTTCATATGAGAATTTAACTCCACAACATAGCAGATCACTAACAACAATTACAGCAACAATACAGCAGTAACACTAACAATATTATAACTATATAAAATGTTCCCTCTCTTAGTTCTTAAAATATCTGGTGAATGAAAAGGTTTTCACCTGGTGCCAACAGGACAGTAAAGATGACGCCAGGCATACCTCTGGGGAGGATATTCCAGAGATGGGGTGCCACAACTGAAAAGACCCTTCTGTTTACCAGTTCCCTTACTTCTTTAGAGGGAGGTTCCCTGAGAGGGACCTCTGTAGCTGATCTTAATGGATGGGAAGAACATATGGGAGCAGGGGATCCTTCAGATATCCTGGCCCTAAGCTATTTAGGGCTTTACATCTTAAAACAAGCACTTTGAATTGGGCCTAGATTTCAACTGGCAGCCAATGCAGTCAACAGAGGACTGGTGTGATATCATTTCATGGGCAAGTCCTTGTAGACACCAATAGTGTAGACAAGAGGTTACCAGAGCATACATAATGATGGCCAGGCTTTACCTGTCCAGATAAGGCCACTGTTGGTAAATCAGAGGCAGCTGATATAAGGTGTTCCTAGCCATGGAGTCCACGTAAGACTCCAGTGATAATTCTGGGTCTAGGAGCATCCGTAAACTATGGGCCTTGTCCTTTAAGGGAAGAGTGACCCCATCCAGGACAGGTTGGAAATCTTCCCATTGGACAGATGATGTGCCAACCAACAGCACCCCTGTCTTGTCTGGACTAAGTCTCAGTTTGTTGGCTCACATCCAGTCCATTACCAAGCTCAGGCCATTCAGAATGCCCACTGCCTTACCTGGGTCTGATAGAAAGGAGAGGTGGAGCAAAGCGTCATCTACATATTGACGACATCTCAGCCTGTATCTCCAGATGACCTCTCCCAGCAGTTTCATATAGATGTTGAAAAGCATGGGGGATAAGATCAAGCCCTGTGGAAATCCATGGCACAACTGCCACAGCGCAGAGCAAGAATCCCCCAGCACCATCTTTGGAAAGTGGTCAGCCAGATAGGAGTGGAACCACCGCAAAGTGGTGCCTCCTACTCCCAACCTGGCCAACCTTTCCAGAATGACACCATGATCGATGGTGTCAAAAGCTGCTGAATGGTCCAGAAGAACCAACAGGGTTGCACTCCTCCTGTCTGTCTCCTAGCAGAGATCATCCCACATGGTGACCAAGGTGGTTTCCTTTCCAAAACCAGGTCTGAAGTCTAATTGAAATTGATCTGCATAATCCATTTCATCTACAAGTGCTTGGAGCTGCTTGGCCACCACCTACTGAAACACCTTGCCCAAGAAGGGGATATTCACAACAGGTCTATAGTTGTTCACATTCCCTGGGTCCAGGTGTGACTTTTTAAAGGAGTGGTTTAATCACAGCCTTCTTCAAGGAGCCTGGTACCACTCCCTCTCTCAAGAGGAAATTGACAGCCTCCTGGACTACCTCCTCAGGTATAAATTCCCTCCTTAATTGGACTTTTTGCATTATAAGAATAAGCTGTAATAAGCTGATCAGTAGGATCAGTGTTCTCTTACTTGCCAAGTGCATTTAGCCCAAGAGGATGCTAAACAAGGGCTCTTACTGACATACTTCTTCATCCCTATGCATAATGCAGACTTGGAAGAAGTGGCAATTAAAATTAGATATGTGCAACCAACATCACTGGAGGGAATTAGTCAGACAAAGAACTTGAAATCAAGAGAACAGTTTCACCATTAATCTCACAACTCAAGAAAGATACACTCTCTTCTTATAACACTGTTTAAATAAGCAGAACTGACTGAAGATGTGAAGTACAATTCTACTCTGTACGTGGGAAGGTATTCATTTAGGTATGTATTCCCCTGAATGTTGTAATTTGGGGAAGGCTGACTTCATTTTGTATTTTAAAAGATCTGATACTGTGAGCTGTCCTGTGGTATGACTTTATCATAAAAGAAACATCTTGCTCTTGTGAGCTAAGGAATGCATGCAGTGATTTTGCAGTACCAGGAATTCTTGTATTGCAATGGAACCTGTTGCCAAACCACACCTCCCATACCAACTTCATGTCCTGGAAAAAGGATGTTATTACAAATGCTACATAAGGGAACTTGGATGGCACTGAAGAAGGAATGGGTATAGTGCTGGTCCCAGGCAACAGCATCCTACAGACATTTCTGGAGCACATTGATACAGCTATATTTTTAATGGCTACAGGAGTAAAGCCATATTTCTTGCAGAGGAAAAAATGCCTGTGTAGCTCTGAAACAGACAGTTGCTTTGAACACAAGAGGCAGCAGTTTAGAATG